CTTCACTCCATCCATGGGCACTCCAGAATGGTTCTTCTTTGGTGCTTTGCCTTCATAGAGCGAAGTGAAGGACCAAGCCATGCATTCCATGATGGTGTTGAATGTTTCCTTGCTGACTGCTGCTTTTGGTATTGCAGCTAGAAGGAGCTGGCTGTCTCCCACAGGCATTGATGTCAAAAGGCATCTAAAGGAAAGGACTTGTATGGAATCAGTCTCTGTGAAGGGTGCTCCATCACCATGCAAACACCATGGAATGGGGAGACTTTCTGGTCGATCAAAGTCCAATGATCTCCAGAGCTGTTGTGTCATCTGAGGGTTCCTTGGTTAAAGGGGTGTGCAGCCAAGACAGCATCAAGGCTGCCAGCAAAAAAAATCAAAAAGATTGTGGAATTTATCCTAGGCTCTTTTTCTGGCTCTCCCAGAAAAGGATGAGGTCATTGTCAGTGCATGTCAGATTGACCAACAATTCCCCCCTGCTGGAGCGATTCCACCCATTGGTGGGGCAAAAGAACAAAACAATCACATTCTGTGAGGCACTTCTCACCAGCCACTTTCATGGCCATCTGGCATGTGAGCTTGTATGGGGCAGGTGCTTGCAGATGGGTGAAGCATTTCCTGAGCAAATCTCTGTGAACATTCCCTGACTGCTGGCCCATGGCGCCAAGGCCCTGAAGCTGAAGCATCTCTGGTGTGCTTGCACCACTCTTCACAGCAGCATCAGCCAAATGTTGGAGTTCAATGGCACTTATTGTGCCCAGTGCAAATTTCTGCGCCAGAAGAACCCACAAGGGGCAGGGCTCTGACATATTCCTAGCTTGAGGCTATTGCGCCACCTGAAAATTGCAACTTTTTGCCTACAGGGCTGTCCAGCCCACCCTGCAGAACTGCCAACCCATCACCACAAGAAAGGCTGTCCAGCCTGTGTCCAGCTACATATTCAAAAAGTTGCCAGAAAAAAGGCTGTCCAGCCTTTGCAATCATTTTCATTCCTGGGCAGCTGTCCAGCTGAGTGCAAAATGGTTGTGCTCTCCCAGCACATTGGTGCCTAGCCTAGGCTGGTGCTTAATCCTCATCAGAGCCTGCCTCAGACTCCTTCTTGGCCTTCTTTTTGGGATGGTTCTTCTTGCAGGCTTGCACAGCCTTCAAGGATGCCACCAAAGCATTCTTGGCTGCTTCCTTTTTGGAGCCAGCAGTCAGGGCTTGCTCCACTTGCTTTATGGCATCCCCTGCCAGCTTCACCATGGCCACAGCCTGCTTGTAGTCTTGGCTTTTCTTGTCATCAGCATCAACCATGGCTGCTTGGAAGAAGCTTTGCTCTTTGCAGAGCTCTGCTTTGAAAGCCAAAAGCTTCTTGGAGAGTTCCTGCTTTGTGGTGGCAGAAGACACCTGGCTTGTCAGCTCCCATTTGTTTTTCTTCTCTGTTGTCTTTGGGTTGTCTTCTGGGTCTTTGGGGTCCTTGTTTTTGTTGGAGCCAAAGAATTTCTTGAGGTCTGGCTCCAGGTCCATGGATGCAACATCATCCTCTTCTCCCACCACTTCCATCCCCCAATTGCCCTCAGCCTTGAGGTCATCCAAAGTAAGGTTCTCATAGTCTGCAAGGGTTTCCTCTTTGGTGGCCTTGCTGGAGGAAGCCTTCAGTCGAGTGCCCCTGGTCTTGGTAGCTTCCTGCTTGTATTCTTCAGAATGCACAGCAAACTCCATGTACTTTGGATCTAGGGGGTTCTTTCTCCATTTGAGGGTGCCCCTTTTCAGCATGCCCAGTGCTTGGTCTTTACCCAAGTCATCACAGGTCTTCTTCCAAGACCTCCACTTGTACCCTTGTTTGGACACATTTTTCAGCTCAAAGGCTGTCACTGCCTGCCTGTAGTGTTTTTGCAGCTGACCACCATCTTTCAGCCAGGCCCTGAGCAGCATTTGCTTTTTGGCATTGCTGCCAGGCCCACTTGTGCTCTGGGCATACTTCTGGTCTTCACCTTCCATGTCCCTGTTCATCTTGACCCTCTTCCACAAGGACATCATGGAGAGGTTGTCTAGCCCAGCAAGCTTTTTTTTTCATGTTGCCTTCATCCATTCCCTCCATCTCAGCCATCAGACATTCAATTTGTTCATGCCTCTTGACCTGTGCCTCTGTTAGGCTATCCTCACTGGCTTCCACTGCTTGGCGAGTGGTTTTTGGCTTTCCCTTTGTGTCAGCTGTGGCTGGTTTCTTGTTGACACTGGCTGGTGCAGCTGCAGGCCTCTTCATGCCCATGGTGGCAGCTGGCTACTCAGTATGGGGTGCCCTAGTCTTGAACCTGGTGGAAAAAATTTGCTCAAGAAAATCAATATGTTGGCAAAGGTTTGCCTGAAAATGTATTACTTCATATTACTTTTCTTTACTTTTTATTACTGCTTATTACTTTTTATTACTGTTTATTACTTTTATTACTGTTTATTGTCTATTACTGTTTATTACTGTTTATTACTTCTTATTACTTTTCTTTACTGTTTATTACTTCATATTACTGTTTGTTACTTTCTGCTTTTTTTGGGCTGTCCAGCCCACTCTTTTAGGCTGTCCAGCCCACTCTTTTGGGCTGTCCAGCCCACCCATTTGCACTGTCCAGCCCACTCATGGGCTGTCTAGCCCACCCCCAGGGGCTGCCCAGCCCACCTCCCATGAGCTGTCCAGCCCACCCCTACTTTTTTTTTGCATCCAAGCTTGCCAAGTCAGGTTACCAAGAGGGGGGCCCACAGATCACACAAACATATCTAGTTTCTGCTTTGAGTTCAACAGAAGGCCCCCCCCCATGGCTATTGAAAAAGGCTATCCAGCCTGTACCAAAAAGGCTGTCCAGCCTAAAACTCTAACACTTCAGTGTCATACAAGTCCACAGCTTCCTGCAGGCCATCCACAGCTTCACCACCCCTGAAGCTGCTGCATGAAGGCCTCATGCACCCTCTGCAACTGGGTTTTCTAACCCTGCTCTTCTTGGCGACATATGAGTAGCGGGTGCATGCTCTGCACTTGCTGAACCAGTTGCTGGGGTGGTCTACATCCCAGAAGTCAGTCCTGGGCAACACACTCGAAAGTTGTTAGAGGCTGTCCAGCCTGAAAACAAAACCATGAATGGTGTTTTTAAGAATAAGAAGTAAGAAGTTCCACATGTACTTTTGCCAAAAATCTTTTCCATTTCCCTTGCAAGAAGTACCCCACCAGCTTCAGTAACCTCAGGTGTTGCAGCCCCCTGAGGGCCAACAGGCTCTGCAGCCTCTTGTTGAGGAGGCTGAGAAGTGTGTTGGGGGGTGGTTTTCATCACAACCCTGTTCCTGCTTGTCATCATCCTGCTTCCAGCTGCCATGCCAGCCATACCCACTTGTCCACCAGCCCCACCACTGGCTCTTACTCCAGTCTTCCTCAACCATTTCTTCATCTGGTGGCTCTGCAGCCATGGCAGCCTCTGCCACATTCAAGCCTGAGGAGGTAGCGCTTGTTGCTGCGGCAGTCTTCCATGGTGCTTGAGCCTTGTCAGCCTGACTGGGTGTTTCTGCTGGTGTGGCTGGCATTGGCTCTGGCTTTTCTGCAGGCTGCCCAGCCTGGGTTGGTGGAGGCCCCTCAGCCTGGGCAGGCTGCTCAGCCTGTAGTGGAGGCTGGTCAGGCTGGGCTCCTTTTGGCTCTGGTGGAGGGGCTGCTTTTGGCTCTGGTGGAGGTGCAGCCTGAGTATGGCTGGGTGCTGGGTCTGCAGGAGGCTGGCCAGCCTGGGTTGGTACCAGGAAGGGTGGTGGTCCTCCTGCTGCCTTGCTTGCTCCTCCTGGTGTTGGTGGTTCTTGCCAAGCGCAGGAGAACTGGCCAGCCTGCTGGTCTTGCCACATGGCTGTGGCAGGTGCACCAATCACCAGTGGTGGACCCATTGGTGGCTGCATTGCTGCAGGCTGCTGGAGTGGCCAGTGTACTGCCTGCATTTGCTGCAGCAGCGCTTCTTGCTGTTGCTGGTGCTGCTGCCTCTGCTGGTTCAGCAGGGCCTCATTCATTCTCTCCACCAAGGCCTCCATGAAGTTCAGCCAGTCACTTCCTGCTGAGTGAGACTTTCCAGCTTTGTAAGTGAACAAAAGGAAAAAAGGCTGTCCAGCCTGTGCTGTGCAAGAACAAAAGGCTGTCCAGCCTGTGCAAGAACAAAAGGCTGTCCAGCCTGCTAGAAAAAAACACAACTGCCCAGCCAGGCTGTCCAGCCTGCAAAAAACAAGAACACTAAAGGGAGGCTGTCCAGCCCCAAAAGCAGAGACACTTGTCCTGGGTCCACCTTGTCCTTCAACCTGGCAAAGAACTGCCTGTGCGACTCATGCTTGCCCAACACCAAGTCAGTCACCTGCTGGCTGTAAACGACCAGGTTGTGCTGCCAAACATTAAAGGGCATCTCAGGGTTGTAAGATTGCCACATGCACCTGAGGTTGTCCCTCCAGACACTGCTGCCACCACCACCAGCTCCTTGGTGGGTGGGTGGCCCCTTCCCATATGGGTCTGGAGCTGGGGCTGGCTTGCCCTTTCCCCCCCTTTGCAGCTGGTTGTCCTCCAGCAGCTTTGGCTTTATTACCACCATCCATTGCTGGCAGATCGAGTCAGCCCTTCTCAGGGCAAGAGCTTTCCACTTCAGCTTGAGCTCTACTGAAGACAAGCATTGCAAAACAGTTCTGCTGCCCAACCTGTTGGGCTTTCCAGCCCACCACCCAAGTTTTACTTGGGCTGTCCAGCCCACTACCCAAAATGCTTCCAAAAGGGCTGTCCAGCCCAAGACTGCTTGCAAAACAGGGCTGTCCAGCCCACTACCAAAAACCATTCCAAACAGGGCTGTCCAGCCCACTGCAGAAAGACAAAAGCAAAGGCTGTCCAGCCCAATGTCCTGTGTGCCTGTTTTCTTTTCAAAGCCACTCACTTGTTAGGCTGTCCAGCCAGCTTGCATGCATGGTCTTATGGGCTGCATATAGCCCTGCCAAGCATCAAATCAAGCCATGTAGCCTTCCAGCTACTTTTCCTTTGCCAGCCTTGCAGCTTTCCAAGCCTTGGCATCCCCCAGCGACATGCCATTCTTCAATTCAGCCAGAAGCTTTTCAGCCAAGGCCTTGGACTGCTTGGCACCCTGCTTGCTTTTGATCTGGATCAGCTGGGGGCCCTTGTCTATGCGAATTGCCATAGCACCAGTCTGGTTGTAGGGCATCAGTTTGAGCTTGTGGTCTGCAAAGCAAGCATCATCTGCAACCTGTGGCTTTTTGGTGCCATTGCCTTTGCTTTCTTTTTTTTCAGATGGTACTGCCTCTGCACTTGCTGCAGGCCTTTTTGCTGCTGGCTTCTTCTGGGCAATGGCTTCTCTAAGAACAGCTTTCCTCACAGGAATGGGTTCAGTCCCCATGGCTTCATCGAGCAGGCTGCCACCCAATGAGGACTGTGTGGCAGGAATGTCCATGTTCAACAAGTCTTCTGTTTTCACAGAAGTTGGTGAGCCACACTTGGGAGAAGCTGGTGTTTTCTTGGCCTTCTTTGATGCCTTCACAGGCAGACCTGGTGACTTGGGATCAGGTGGTTCAGGGACAAGTAATGTCTTCATTCTCTCAAGCTTGCCCACCTGGAAGTCAGAGGCCTTGCTGCAAGCTTCTTGGAACTTTGAAGGCTGCCTGGACAACCTCCTGCAATGATTGCAAATGACAAGGATGCTTTCAGAGAGCTTGCTGCTCAGATCTGATTGCTCTTCCACTGGGAACCTCTCCACAATGCCAGGATACTGCTTGAGGGTCTCTTTGAGGCCAGTCTTCAGATCACTGTACTTGAACTCAAGGCTGTGGCTGACCTTGTGCAAGTCAGCCACCAAATCCTCCATGTCACACAGGCTGGAGGCAACCACTGCCTGCTCCCTGGTCAGGTTGTGGTACTTGCCAAAGCAGAAAGCATGTTTCACACCCACTTTCCTGACATAGCCATTGAGAATGTCTAACAAATGCTCCACATCAATGTCAGGAACTTTGTTCCTTCTGGGGCCACCTCTACCACCTTGTTTTGGCATCTTGCGCAGCTGCAGATGTTGAGTGCATGCATTGTCCAGCCCATTTGGACACTTGGGGCTGTCCAGCCCATTTGGGAAACACTTGGGGCTGTCCAGCCCATAAAAGACCTACAGTGGAGGCTGTCCAGCCTTGAAAAACCTCTGTTGAAAATTCAATCGTTTTGGTCTTTGTTTTTCAATCGAAATAGGTTTTTGTTTAGAGACATTTCTATTGAAAATGGTTCCCAAAAATCAATCTTCAATCGAAGATTGATTTTGTCAAAAAAATCAATCGTTCTATTGAATTTTTTCAATCGCGGATGCTTTGGGGGGCCTGGGAATGCGGCCGAAGACCGCTTGGTACGGGCTGTGCCCGTGTGTGTATATGTGCTGCTGTTGAGGCTAAAACAAAGGGCAAGCAAAACCTTGTCAAGTGCTTCTGCTGTTGCGATGCCATGTTGATCTATCAGGCGCTCTGCCAGTGTTCTTGCCAGGGCGCTTCTTCTTCCAATCTTGCCCAACTTCCAGGCCTCTTCTGAAGGGATGACCTGGTACTGGATGCCGTGGCTTGTGTGCCACTCTTGACACCGTCCGAGGTAGGCACCGTCGGGGTCGACCAAGATGGAGTGTGGGAGTCCCAGTGGTCGGTACCACATGGTAATCATGGCCGTCAAGGTGGTCTCGGGGTTGCGATCTTCGATCATTATGGTACAGTAGTATAGTTCGTGGCATTGCAACACATGCCCAAAACAGGCAAAGCTTCTCCTTGCAGGGTGCGAATAAAAATAATGTCGCTCTGCAAGTGTTCACCGAAGAAGCCTGACATCTTGACTGTTGCAATGGAAGCCACAGGGGGATTGCTTCTTGCCGCTGAGGCTGTTGCTGGCAGCCAGGATGCGGATGATTTCCTCTTTGGCCGGATGGCCAAGGTTGCAATGAAGTCTTGCCAGGGAACTCTGCATCTCTTTGCTCATAGGTGGGCCATTCTCAAACCGAATCTCGGTGCTCATGCCTGGGACTCGCTTGGCTTGAGGTGGTAGTTCATGAGGTGGACCATCGTCATGCGGTGGTTGTTCAAGCGGTTCTTGCTTTGCCTCCGGCTCTTAATCCGGAACGCCGAAGAAAAAACAAGCCAAGCCTCATACTCTTGAGGAAGCGCTGCTTTGGGTAGTTGATGGAGGAGAGGTCTTCAGACTCAATGATGAGCTCTCCGTCGGCGCTTCGTAGCGCTGCACCTCGGTGAGTAAGAGGCACATCCATGGGTAGTCTTCTTGCCATTGGCGTCCATGCAACTTGGATCCTCGTCAGCTGCCAAGGGGCCAGTGAGGCGACCATGCCATAGAGCTCGTCGTCCTCCTTGAGGTTGAAGGGTCTCTTATTCGTGTTCTGGAACCTTGACTCCAGCTGATCGAGCACATAGTTCCAGCGTTCACGGTCAATCGCTGGCTGGGCGTAGAAGACTTCTGCGCGCTGTTGTCTGGCAAATCTTGAAGGGTCTCGGATCTGGGCTTCTTTCTTGAGACCAGTGAGGATGGCATTCACGAGGCCGTCGCAGTAATGTCCACTTCGTTGTGTGTCACGACCTGCAACTGGCTGTGTGAAGGCTCTCTGCTCTGGAGTGAGTCGCCGAGTGAGTTCATTGGCAATCTCTTTGCTATTGCAGATCCACTGGTGTGTCTTGATCATTAGGGAAGCCGGCCAAAGTCTCAGCACCATAGGCTCCACCATCACAAACTGTGACGAGGTTGTCTGCCGAATTCATGACTGGCTCAATTACAGGTTGGCTCCAAATTCGTGACTTCTGAGGGTTCTCGCCCGGGTAGTAGCGGTCGTGGTCGTTCTGGTAGATGCACACGTCGGCACCAAGCTGCAAGAGATGTCGTTCTTCATCTCGAAGTGCCTCAAGCTCGTTCCAACGTTCGCTGGATTGAGAGTAGTTGCAGTTCTCATTCATTATGGACCACTGTGTGCATGGCCATGCCACCGTCACCAGCAAAGGGCGAAAAGTGCGAAGGATCTGCCAAATCTCATCCTGACCTTTGGAGGTCTTCAAATCATGTCCCAGAGCTTTGTCCACCGGCTCGAGGGCATTGAGTCCGAAGAAGTGAGCACGCCAGGTCAAGTTGGCTGTTCCGGCGAAGAGCTCCAAAAGGTCAATCTGCGGGGCCTCAGTCTTGAGCTTGTAGTGAGTCACCAAGCTCTTATAGGCGTTGTCTTCCCGCTCATAATCTTTTTGGACGTGTTTCAAATGGCCACTCAACCAAGCCTTCGTGCCGTGCTTAATCCTTGCCTCGCTGCTCATGGACTCTCGGCCACTAGGTCCCATGCGAAGTCGCTGTCCGAGTCCGGCACCATCTGCACATCGGTGCGGGGCTTTGGCTTCTGCAGAGACTTGCTGCGGGCTGAGGAAGTCGAAGGAGAGGGACTCGTGGGTGCTGGAAGCGCCTTCTGAGGAGAGGGCGGTGGAGATTTCTTGTCCAGCAAACCTGTCTTGCTCGTCAATGCTGCGGCCCAACGTGGCCTCAATCCCTCCTCGATGAAGTGCGAAGCTGTTGATGAGGATGGCAACGGCAGTTGCGATGACTTTCGGGATGGTCGGGGTTCTTGCCATTCTTGTTGGCTTTCGTTCCACGTCCACTTCTTGCCGCACGTCAGACACTTGGAGTACCGGCGGTACTTGTTCCCGGATCTCTGGATGGTCTCGTGCTGGCATGGCTTCATCAACTCTTTCATGGTGTCCTCCATGATCTCGACATTGATCGGGTCCTGGTGAGCAATCCATGCCCTTGGACGAAGTCCGATCCGCACTGCCTGGCCGATGCAAATGGCCAGCTGCATCTCGGCTTTGAAGAAATGTGCCACCATGCGGTGCCAGTTCTGCAGCCATGCTGGAGGAAGCACAGCCGCGGTCCTCTTCTCTGGGTAGCTGGGCATCCGCGACACAAGAGCGAATTGAAGGCTGAGCGCTTGTGCACAAAAAACTCGCGGTCATGTGAGCCATCATCACAAAGTTCACTGAGCTGCTTCCAGGCACGATGCATGCGGGTGTTGCAATCAAAGTGCATGACATTGAAAACCAAATGACCATTCACCTTCATGATGGGAACCCAAACATTCAAGGCTGCCAAAAAAACGCAAAAAAGCTCTCTGTTGGGGAAGATCCAAAGTGGTTTTGAGCTTGTTCTCCAAGAGGTCGTTCGACCCCAACAAAGGAATGTCGTTTGTGGACTTGATGATACTGGTGCCCAAAAGACATGGTGAACCGCCAACGACAAAAAACAGCTGGGAGCAAGACGTGGTGTGAGCTGTATTGAAGAGGTCCGCGCCCAAACTCGAAGGGCTCCTGGCACGGTGTCAGCTTGGCCATCATGCGATGCTCTGCTGCTTTCGTGCTCCATGCATCAAACCAAGCACTGCTGCAACATGTTCTTTGGCATGCAGTATCTAAAACCAGATATGAAGCCAACTGCTCAATGTTCGTGATATAGATCTGGTGGATGTGCACTTCAGGAACCTTCACCATGTAACTAAAGTAGGTGCCGTTCTTGGGGGGCTCCTCGAAGGTTCCTGATCGTGCACTTCCATCGTGTGAACGGACTGTGAGCACCTTTTTGCCAGACTTGCCATCGGACTTGCCCTTGCCTTTGGAGCCATCTTTGCTGCTGCTGGAGGAAGGGACACTGCACTCAGGGTCACCTTTCCAGTGGCCTTTTTCGCCGCAGGCGGCGCAGTGGCTCTGCTTTCTCTGTTGGAGAGATTTGGGGTTGCGTCCAAACTTCCTGCCAAGCCGCAAACCATTCAGGCGTCGTGCCGTGACTGTCAGGCACTGAGCAGCTATGGCAAGGTCTTGTTCGTCAAGATCTAGCTCCTCGTCATCGGGCGTGGTCTCAGGCTCGTTGGCATCGTTGGGGTCCTCTTGGACCTCCTAAAACTCTTCTACATCAGGCTCTGTGGCAGCTTCCAATTCTTCTTGAGGTTCACCATCCCCTTCAGGGATACCAGCAAGAAAGGCCGTTTTGGCCGGTGGGTTGCTGCTCTTGACAAAGCCCTTGCCCTTGCTCTTGCCTTTGTTGTGGGAGTAGTAGGGCTTCAGAGAATTCTGCTGAGCTTGTTGTTGTCCGTCTCGCGGAGGAAACTGTTTCGGCTGAGGTCCTGCATCAAATTCACGGGAGGTGACAACGAAGGGTGTTGGTCTATGCTCGGGGAACTGAAGGCATGCTGAATCTCGGATTGCCTCGAAGTGGAGGCTCTGAAGTGAGCCGACTAAAATGAGCCGTTGTTGGTCTGCAGCCAAACGAAGCCTGTCCAACATGCGGGTCCCGCGTGCTTCGCTGTCGTACATGGCCGTCACGTCTATGTTGACGGCCTGGAGCTGTCGCTCTGACCTCCTGTATCTGTTGATAAATGTCTTGATTGTTTCCCCTTGCTGCCGGTAGATGTTTTCGTAATCGTATAGATATCTACGTTTGATGTAGACATCTCTGGTCTCCATGGGCTTTCGCAGGCTCTCGACAATGAAGTCAATGCCTGAATCACTGTTGATCTTGCTGACATCTGCCCATTCGAGTTCTTCTTTGAGGTCACCTCGAAGAGAAGCGTACAGCAACATTGCTGCGTCGGAAGGAGGGAGGTAGCTGGCGACTTGGATTCGCCATATTGAGGGCTTGCGCTCCCACTTCTGGAACGCCGTCAGGTCCGACTGGGCATAGTTCCAGGGCGGCGGCGCTGGAGGCTGGCCGCCGCGGTATTTGATGCCCGGAGCTGGCCCTTTCTGTATGCTCCAGTCACTGTTCTTGTCCTTGTTGATGACTTGGTGGATGCCCTTCAGCATATCGTCTCTCCACTGAGCTGAAGGTCGTCGCTCGTCAGCTGTTTGGCCACAGTCTTTCTCTTGCCCTTGCCCTTCTCGACAACGGTGCCTTTGCCTTTCTCGGCACCGCTGCTCTTGCCTTTTCCATGTCCTGCAGGTACTGGAGAAGGCCGAAGTGCTGTAGGGCTAAGAGGTGCTCTGCCACGAGCTGGTACGATAGGAGTTGCAGGTACGGAAGAGGTGCAGGTACTGTAGGGCTTCCTGAAACTGAGGCATGGAGAGGTACTTTTGAGGGAGGAAGATGTCCATCTCGCTTCGACACTTTCCGCATTCTCCGACTCAGCTTAGGGACCGGTTGCAGTGTTTCCGGATCCACGGTTGGGTCGTCGGTCAACTGCTCTGACTCTGCTGTCTCCTTGCCTTCATGCGCTTCTTGGGCTCGTCCTGGATCATGCCGTGCTCTGTTCCTCACAGGTGGCAAGTCGACAGGCCGAGGAGGTGTGTGTGGTGGTGTCACGGTTCGAGGGTCCGTCTCATTGTAGGGGACGTACATCCAGGAACCATGTGAGGTCGACTGGTGCATCGGCTCGTTCACGTTGTAGAACCTTTCGTTGCCACAGTCTTGACAAACAAAGGGCCAGGGGGTGGTCACCAGCATTGGAAACAGAGGTCTCCAGTTGGGACTATCACAACGGAGGCATCGCCACTCATCAGTGGGCTCATCCGGTGAGGGTTCATGAAGTGACGGCATGCGGTCGGCGCTACTGTCACCGTCCTCGTCATCGTCACCCAAAGCTGGTTGAAGGAGTCCATGGGAGTCTGCTGCATCGAAGCTCCAGTCGTGCTCTATCTCGTCGAAGCCATCGGAAGCAAGGTCCTCGTCGTCCTCCATGGGCCTGGCACGGCCTATTGCAAGGAACGGTGCACGCGTAGGCTCCGCGCCACCAACTGATCACGATTCGTGCTGCGATGAATCGTGTCTTCTCGAAGGTCGAAAAACGTGAGAAAAGGCCGCGGTTCCTTTTTTTGAGACTGCATGGCTCAGCGATCGACTTCGGGGAGAAACGTGGGGCGGTTTGTGCCCAGACATCATGGTGGGTGATCAAGGTGCTAGGACTGCATCTCTCACACAAAGAACGTTCCATTTTGACACATGTTGTCTGTTCTCTGTGCGTGCAACTCGTCCAACTGAAAAAGCATATGCATCTGCAAGAGTCAACAGAAAACAAAACGAGGTCACAGTGTTGTGTTGTGTGTTTCTTTATCACAACATGCGTTATGTGATGTTATTTGTTATTTCACCATTGGAGCAACAGACTTTCCGATGTCAACTTGTCTTTGAGAAAATCTGCTGCTGAAATTCACCCGGAGCAAAGCTCCTTGGGCTCAGTGGTAACTCAGCTCCTTTGGGCTTTCAGGTGTTGACAAGGACGTCTGCTTCGATGTTTTTCACCCCT